GCGAAAATTTCTTTACATTTTCAGCTGTTATCATTTGAATTTAAAGTTATTCTGTTAAATTTTGTAGAAGAAAATTTTAATGCATTAAAAGGATCGAACTTGGACTATGAGAGGGAAGACAATAAAATTAGTAACCAATGTACCAAAAGACGAAGCATGCCGATATTGGTTTAGATATAATTTATAGTTCCAAAACCACCAGCAGAGACGGAGAGTCCACTTTCTATTATATTTCTTGGGCTCAATCGTCCATCGTCTTCGACACAACCTCCTCCACCTTCAAATCTCTTCTCCGAGATATCTTCCATATCTATCTAATACGCACACCGACGCTGCAAAAAGCAAACAAACCTTACGCTTCTCTCCTTTTAATTTCTTTTTCTTATTTCCCACACAAATCCCTTCGACGAAGCCAAGAATACATTCGAAACCCTAATTCGATCATCCGTCGTCTTCCCCGATTCTCTCCGGTCAGTCTCCGATTTCCTCGATCCATCTGGTTTCTATCGATTCTTATACTGTCTTCCCGGTTTTGAGTTTGGCTGTTGGTTTCGGAATTTAGATTGATTTTGTGATCCTTTTTTTGCTCGGATTCAGGTTTGATATCTTCGTTCTCGAATCTCTGGGTGTTCGATATGAGTAATCAGAAGAAGAGGAATTTTCAGATAGAGGCGTTTAAGCATCGAGTCGTGGTGGATCCCAAATATGCCGATAAAACCTGGCAGATTCTTGAGCGTGCTATTCATCAGATTTACAATCAAGATGCTAGCGGTCTCAGCTTCGAAGAGCTTTACAGGTCTTGTCTCTCTACATGTTTGCTTTTATTAGGTCTCTTGAAACCTAGCTATGTTTATGTACAAATGGTAATGTTTCTGGAATCAATTATGTGATTTCTTCACTAGGTTTTGAGCTGTCTCTCTTTCATTCAGCTAATTTTCGAATGTAGAATGGTTTTCATGTCTTTCCAGGGATGATAACTTGTCTGATGCATACTGATGCCCTTTGTCTACATTGGTTTTTTTCTGTATATTGGCTCAGAAACGCGTACAACATGGTCCTGCACAAGTTCGGAGAGAAGCTTTACACTGGGTTTATTACCACTATGACTGCTCATCTCAGAGAAAAAGCCAAGCTCATTGAGGCAGCTCAGGGAGGATCATTCCTAGAAGAGCTCAACAAGAAATGGACTGAGCACAACAAAGCTTTAGAAATGATACGGGACATTCTGATGTACATGGATAGAACATACATCGAGAGCACCAAAAAAACCCATGTTCATCCGATGGGGCTTAACTTATGGAGGGATAACGTAGTGCATTTCACTAAGATACATACAAGACTTCTAAACACCCTTCTTGATCTAGTCCAGAAGGAACGGACCGGTGAAGTCATAGACAGGGGGTTGATGAGGAATGTTACTAAGATGTTCATGGACTTGGGTGAATCTGTGTATCAGGATGATTTTGAGAAGCCCTTTTTGGAGGCTTCTTCTGAGTTTTATAAGGTTGAGTCTCAAGAATTTATCGAATCTTGTGATTGTGGGGATTACCTAAAGAAGGCAGAAAAACGTCTCACTGAAGAAATAGATAGGGTAGCAAACTACTTGGACGCTAAAAGCGAAGAGAAGATTACTAGTGTGGTTGAGAGAGAGATGATTGCCAACCACATGCAGAGACTGGTTCACATGGAGAATTCAGGTCTGGTGAATATGCTTCTGAATGACAAGTATGAGGATTTGGGTAGAATGTACAACTTGTTCCGCAGGGTCACCAATGGTCTTGTTACTGTCAGAGACGTTATGACTTCACATCTTAGGGAGATGGGAAAGCAGCTGGTTACTGATCCGGAAAAGTCGAAGGACCCGGTGGAGTTTGTGCAGCGTCTATTGGATGAGCGGGATAAATATGACAAAATCATCAGCACGGCATTTGGCAATGATAAAACATTTCAGAATGCGCTGAATTCTTCATTTGAGTATTTCATCAACTTGAATGCTCGTTCTCCTGAGTTTATCTCTCTGTTCATTGATGACAAACTACGGAAAGGACTAAAGGGTATCGGTGAAGAGGATGTGGAGGTTATCCTTGATAAAGTAATGATGTTGTTCCGCTACTTACAGGAGAAAGATGTTTTTGAAAAGTACTACAAGCAGCATTTGGCTAAAAGGCTTCTCTCTGGCAAAACTGTGTCGGATGACGCAGAGAGAAGTTTGATAGTGAAACTGAAGACAGAATGTGGGTATCAGTTCACTTCAAAATTGGAAGGCATGTTCACTGACATGAAGACTTCAGAGGACACAATGCGTGGATTTTATGGCAGTCACCCGGAGCTTTCAGAAGGACCAACACTTATTGTCCAGGTTCTTACAACTGGTTCTTGGCCCACACAGCCTGCAGTGCCTTGTAATCTCCCAGCTGAAGTTTCGGTGCTCTGTGAGAAGTTCCGGTCTTATTACCTTGGGACTCATACAGGTAGAAGATTGTCCTGGCAAACTAACATGGGCACAGCCGATATCAAAGCTGTGTTTGGAAAGGGTCAGAAACATGAACTGAATGTGTCAACGTTTCAGATGTGTGTCCTTATGTTGTTCAACAACTCTGATAGACTCAGCTACAAAGAGATCGAACAGGCCACTGAAATCCCATCATCAGATCTTAAACGCTGTTTGCAGTCGCTGGCATGCGTAAAGGGCAAAAACGTGCTAAAGAAAGAACCCATGAGCAAAGACATAGGAGAGGAGGATTCGTTTGTTGTGAACGACAAGTTCACCTGCAAGTTTTACAAAGTGAAGATTGGAACCGTGGTAGCCCAAAAGGAGACAGAACCAGAGAAGCAAGAGACGAGACAGAGAGTGGAGGAAGACAGGAAACCTCAGATTGAAGCAGCCATTGTGAGGATCATGAAGTCTAGAAAAGTACTGGACCACAACAATATAATCGCAGAGGTGACCAAACAGTTGCAGCCACGGTTCCTGGCTAACCCAACGGAGATAAAGAAGAGAATCGAGTCGCTCATTGAACGGGATTTCTTGGAAAGGGATAATACAGACCGGAAACTATACCGCTATCTGGCCTAATAAGTTGAATACCACAACAAGAACCAAAAAAGGGTTTCCTCTCTGTTTCTTTGCTTTGTTTCTTCTTCTGTTGGTGTAAAAGCTTATCAGCCTTACGGACACTGTGTTGCTGCCGTTAGTCGAATATCATTTGTTTACTC